TAGTGTTATATCTCTCACTGGACTTCATTAATTCTTGCCAGTCTAGAGTTGTCCAATTTAGCAAATAAGAATATAAGATACCCCATTAAATTTGAATTTCAGATAAACCACAAATAAGCTTTAAGTATAAATCTATCCTGCTAGGGAAAAACAAATATTTGAGAGTTATAGAGTGTCATGTACATGCTAAGCTAGTAGAAATATCTCCTTAATAGTAAATGAGGAGCACTTACATTTAAAAAAAAAAAATGTATTTAGGTCTTTGCAGGGAGTTCAGGAATATAGTACTTGTCTAGAATGTTCCCGGCCCTGGGTTCAGTCCCCAGTACTGGTGCACTCAAGCACACACACACTCTGCCTCATGGGATGGTTAATCTCAGTTGCCTATTTCCAAATGTCTGTAATCTTCTGGGAGATGGGCTTTCTCAGACATTATCAGGATTAAGTTAACTGGGATGGGCTGGCCTACCCACTGTGGGTAGCACCATCCCCTAAGCTAAAGTCTTCTTCACTGTGGATGCAATGTGACCTGTTACTTCAGGCTCCTGCTGTCTTGATCCCCTCCCTCCATGTGTAGTGAATGGTAGAAACCAAACAAATCCTTCCTTAAATTGATGTTCTCAGGTATTTCATCACAGCAACTAGAAGAGTTACTAATAGATAACCATATATGTTATATGTATGTTATTATTTGTCTGAAATTCACATTTAATGAGAACCTTATATTCTACTTAGCTACCTTATTTGCCCATCCCTGAAAAGTTGTAATTTATTTCTGGGATCCCACAGTTTACTACACATATCTTCTTGGCAGTGAACACTATGTTGCTTTAGCCAGGATCCTATTACACGCATTCTGAGTGGAATCAATGGTAATTCCCATTAAAGTGTATGTGACTCAAGGTGCAGAAGTAGCTATTTTTTTTTTCCAGTGCAGAGGGATCTCAGGAGTTTGAGCATACTAGGCAAGTGCTTCTATCAAGGAGCCATCCCTCAGTTCCAAGGTCACCTCTAATGTTGTTACCCACCCCACACTTCTAAAACTAAAGGTAATACCCCCTGATCCATTAAAAACAAGAACTAAACAAAAAACCCAAAGACTCCAGATAGTCACTGAACTTTCTAGTCTGATAGGAAGCAGCCATATAGATAGCAGCCTTAAAGTTTTAATCTTCCAGCTCACTGTACCTCAAAAGGTAATTTAGCAGTCCCCGAAAACTTTCTGGAGGGTTTTGTGTAAATTTTTTGGGGTTCAGGATTGAACCGGGGCCTTGCACATGGTGGGTGAGAAACCCTACCACTGAGTTATAGCTCCATGTCAAATCTCTGTATTGCCATTGAATGGTAGTATTTTGAGATGCCAAATCATGTTGTCAGAAAGTCACCAGACTGGAAAGTAGTCAGGGGGCAGGGTTTCGCACCTTGAGGCAGTCCTGTTTATGAGATCCACATTTGTGTTTATAATACAGAATATATCTAGAACCAGATAAACAGTTGCATGTTTGTTGTTTGTTGAAACAGGTTTTCATGTAGCCCACTCTGTTTCAGAACTATTTAGCTGGGATAACCTTGAACTTCTGATCTTTCCTCCACTTCTTGCATTCTGGGATTAAGGCATGTACCACTAAGTCCGGCAGAACTTTTTGGAAATGATCACTGAAAATAAAGGACTCATATTAGAGTGGTATTTTGTGGGGCACTTATAATGTTTACAATATTAATAAACCAACATATACTTTACCACTGTAATTGAAACATAACATAATAATTCTTATGGCATTGAAGGTTCATTTAATTTAAAAAAAAAAAAAAGCTAGTCTGGCCATAGTGGCTTCTTTCTTACAGTTGTCTGAGATGGAGGGAGATGTAAGTCCAAGGCCAGCACCCAGCCTGAGCAACTTGGTGAGAACCTGTCTCAAAAAATAGAAGTTTTATAGGCAAAACATTTACAAAGCTGCTATTGCTGTTGTATTAGTATTAAAATGTACCCTACTTTAAATTGTTTATTAATTTTTATTTTAGAATTTATATGATTTTTCATTGTAATCATTTGAATACTCTGCATGTTGTAAAATTTCATTAAACTACTGCTCGTATGCTCCCAGTATTTATGTTGTTTTGCTTGTTTTGAGACTGGGTCTCACTATATAGCCTTGGCTGGCTTGGAGCTCCTTATTCACAGAGATTTACCTGCTTCTGTCTCCACACCACGTTTTAAACTTAAAAAAATTTTTTTGACCTGAGTAGTGATGGCACAGACCTTTAATGCCAGCAATGAGGAAGCAGAGGCTGGCAGAGCTCTGTGAGTTCAAGGCCAGCCTGGTCTTCATAGTGAGTTCCAAAACAGCCAGGGCTACACAGAGAAACACTACCTTGAAAAACAAAATAAAACAAAACAAAAGGTAAAGGTGATTGCTTAGCAAGCCTGGTAGACCTAAGTTTAATTCCTGGATCCTGTGTAAAGATGGAGAATATCAATTCCACTGTATTGTTCTCTGACCTTTATAGGTCAAAGTTTCTGTCCTGCAAACCACTCCCAAGTAACCACACAGAGGCTTAATATTAATTATAAATGCTTGGTCAATAGCTCAGGCCTGTTACCAGCTAACTCTTACATTTAAATTAACTCATAGTTCTTATCTGTCTTTGCCTCGTGGCTTGGTATCTTTTTTTAGTACTGCATGCCCATCTTGCATCTCTCTGAATCTGAATGAGACTCCTGGGTCTGCTGTTCTTATTCCCAGAATCGTCCTAGTCTAGCTCTCCCACCTGATCTCTTCCTGCCCAGATGTGGGTCAGTCAGTTCCTTATTAACAATGAGAGTAATGCATATTCACTGTGTATTATTCATAGGAGGATTATTCCATAGCAGAAAAGTCATTTTGTTTTGTTAGTTTGAAAAGACCTGGAGGGGATGGGGGTTGGGGGTGGGAGGCTAGAGAGATGGCTCAGTGATTAAGAGAACTTGCCACTGCTCTTCCAGAGGTCCTGAGTTCAATTCCCAGCAACCACATGGTGGCTCACAACCATCTATAGTGGAATCTGATGCCCTCTTCTGGCATTAAGGCACACATGCAGATAGAGCACTCATATACATAAAATAAATAAATAAAACTTCAAAAAGAGAGAGAGAAGACCTGGGTGTGATAATCCATGCCTTTAATCCCAGCACTAGGTTGACAGAGGCAGGGGGATTTTTATGAGTTCTAAGTGAACCTGATATACATAGCAAGTTTGAGGCCAGGCCAGGCCACATAATGAAACCCTGTCCAAAAAAAGAAAAAAAGAGGAATGTACTGGGGCTTGGGATGAGCTCAGTTGGTAGACCCTGAGCAAAGCCCTGGGTTTGATCTCTAGTATCTAATGAAAGCCAGGAATGGTATTGCATACCTCTAGGAAGTTTTGCCAGGGTGATCAATCAGATACTCAAGTTTATCCTCAGCTACATAGTAATTTCAAGACTGGCATGAGTTGCATGAGACCATATCTCAAGAAACAATAACAACAAAGTAAAAAAAAGTATAAGTCAGGGACTCACAGAAAGAAAAAAAAAAAAAAAAAAGATCAGGGCCATTGAGATAACTCAATGGGTAAAGTGCTTGCCACCAAGCCTGATAACTTTTGGCTTTTGTGGTGGTTTGGTTTGGTTTGGTTTGGTTAGGCAGGGTTTCATTGTGTAGCCCTGGCTGTCCTGGAACTCACTCTGTAGATCAGGCTATCCTTGAACTCACAGAGATCCACCTGCCTCTGCATCCCTGAAGCTGGGATTAAAGGTGTGTGCCACCATCAATTAGCTGACAACTTTTGTCTTGTTTGTATTTTTAGTGTTTTTATGTGCAGGTATGGACATCTGCTTGTATGTGCACCATGTGCCTAATGCCCAGGAAGGCCAGAGAAGTTTCCTGTCCCTTGCCTAAGCTAAGGATGATATGCTGGGAACTGAACGTTGTCCTCTGCATAAGCAGCAAGTTCTCTTAACTGCTGAGCTATCTCTCCAGCCCAAGCCTGAGGACTTGAATTCCATCCTGGGATCTTACATGATAGGAGAGAGCCAATTCCCAAAAGTAGTCCTTTGATTTCTGTTTGTTAGCCATGGCATGCACATTTACTCTACACACACACACACACACACACACACACACACACACACACACACTGCACACTTACATATATAAATAAAAGTAAATAAATTAATAAAACAATAAATAAATGTTTAAAGAGTTAAAAATAGTTTCTGGCCATGGGTGCTGCAAGATGAAAACTCCTTTTCTCAGCAGAGCAGTAGGTGATCTCAATCACTGATCCATCTCTCTGGCCCCTCTCCCCCTATATTGGAAGAGCACCTAACTCTGTAGTCAAGATTGGTCTTAAACTCAAGGCAGTCCTGCCTCACCATCATGAATGTTGGGATTACAGGGGTGTGACAATATGTTTGGCTATCTTCTTTCTCTGTCTTTCTCCCCTCTAACCCTTATCCTCCTCTCCTTATTGAGACAGGATCTTGGGATGTTACCCCCAGCACTAGGGAGGCCGCACTTTTAATCTCAACACTTGGGAGGCAGAGGTGCCTGGTCTACAGAGTGAGTTCCAGGACAGCCATGACTACAAAGAGAAACCCTGTCTCGAAAAGCAAACAAAGAACAAACAAAGGAATCCTCCTGCCTCAGCCTCAAGAGAAGGTGGGAGTATAAGCAACCACCCACGCTGAGCTGTTAGAATAATCAGTTGGAATTTTTTACGTAGTTTTTAAAATGCAGACTACATCGAATCTAGTTTTTTGACATCTTACTCCCTATAGTCTCGAATTGAGCAAATGTAGTGCTAAGGCCTTGGCAGGACACTAGAAAGGGCGTGCGGGGTGGGGGGTGGAGGGGACGGACACAGAGACACTGGGCACGAAGCACGACACCGGAACTAAAGTGAGAGAAAAGCAGGGACTGACGTGTGGAGGAGCTATTTCACAAGAGGACCGGGTTGGCTGGGATTAGCGAGGGACCGGAAGGACTCTGGAGGAAGCTCTTTCTCCGCCATGGCGGGACCGGTCAGCTTGCGAGAGCTGCTCATGGGAGCGTCAGCCTGGCTGGGCTCCGAGAGTCCCGGAGGTGCCCCCGCTGAAGGCGGAGGGAACGCGACCGGCGCGCCGGAGCCTCCGTGGAAGGAAGATGAGATCTGCGTGGTGGGAATCTTCGGCAAGACGGCTCTGCGCCTGAACTCCGAGAAGTTCTCTCTGGTCAACACTGTGTGCGACCGACAGGTTTTCCCCCTCTTTCACCACCAGGATCCTGGGGATCCCGGCCCTGGAATCAAGACGGAAGCTGTCTCCTTCGGAGAGGCCGGAGGAGCCGGGGACCCGGGCGCTGCCGCCGGGGATTCACTTCGTGGAGGTATGGCTACGGCGGAAGGTAACCGAGCTGAGCCAGGTGCCCAGGACTTTAGCCTTCTGCAGGCTTATTACAACCAGGAAAGCAAAGTTCTGTATCTTATTCTCACTTCCATCTGTGACAATTCACAGCTTCTGCGTGCTTGTCGGGCTCTCCAGAGCGGAGAAGCTGGTGGAGGCCTCTCTTTACCTCATGCGGAAACACATGAGTTCTGGAAGCATCAGGAGAAGTTACAGTGTCTCAGTCTCCTTTACCTTTTCTCTGTCTGTCATATATTGCTCCTGGTCCATCCGACTTGTTCCTTTGACATCACTTATGATCGCGTATTCAGAGCCCTCGATGGGCTGAGACAGAAAGTACTGCCCCTCCTCAAAACAGCTATTAAGGATTGTCCAGTTGGCAAAGACTGGAAGTTAAACTGCCGACCTTGCCCACCTAGACTCCTTTTCCTCTTTCAACTCAATGGAGCCCTTAAGGTGGAACCCCCTCGGAGCCAAGATACAGCTCATCCAGATAAGCCCAAAAAGCATTCTCCCAAAAGGAGACTGCAGCATGCCCTGGAGGATCAGATCTACAGAATCTTCCGCAAGAGTCGAGTCTTGACTAATCAGAGTATCAACTGCCTCTTTACCGTACCTGCCAACCAAGCTTTTGTGTACATAGTCCCAGGAAGCCAGGAGGAGGACCCAATCGGCATGTTGCTGGACCAACTTAGGAGTCATTGTACGGTGAAGGATCCTGAATCTTTGTTGGTGCCTGCACCCCTGTCTGGACCTAGGCGGTATCAAGTGATGAGACAGCACAGCCGACAACAGCTTTCCTTCCACATTGATAGCAGCACTTCTAGCTCTTCCGGCCAGCTAGTGGATTTTACTCTTCGAGAATTCCTATGGCAGCACGTGGAGCTGGTCCTAAGCAAAAAAGGTTTTGATGACAGTGTGGGCAGGAACCCGCAACCCTCTCATTTTGAACTTCCCACTTACCAGAAGTGGGTCTCAGCAGCAGCAAAACTGTATGAAGTGGCTATTGATGGGAAGGAAGAGGACTTAGGCTCACCCACTGGGGAGCTAACCTCTAAGATTTTAAGCAGTATTAAAGTCTTAGAAGGGTTTTTGGATATAGACACAAAATTCTCAGAAAACAGGTGCCAAAAAGCTTTACCCATGGCTCATAGTGCCTACCAATCGAACTTGCCTCATAATTACACCATGACAGTCCATAAGAATCAGCTTGCTCAGGCTCTTCGAGTATACAGTCAACATGCTAGAGGGCCAGCCTTTCACAAATATGCCATGCAATTGCATGAGGACTGCTACAAATTTTGGAGCAATGGCCATCAGCTCTGTGAAGAGAGGAGTTTGACTGATCAGCACTGTGTACACAAATTTCACTCCTTACCTAAATCAGGTATCTACAAAATTTCCAACATTTTGCAATGAAAACTTGTGTGCTTGTATGGTGTGTGTGTGTGGGGGGGGGGAAAGTGAGTGTAGCATTGGTTGTCCTGGAACATGTTCTGTAGACAAGGCTTGACTCGAACTCAAGAGGATCCACCTGCCTCTGCCCCAGAAATGCTGGGATTAAAGGTGTACTGCACCACCACCCAGCATTTATTTTTTTAAGACAAGGTCTCTATTTAGTCCTAGCTGACCTGGAACTCCCTCTGTAGACCATGCTGGCCTCTAACTCAGAGATTCCTCCTGCCTTTGCTTTTGGAGTGTATGTGCCACCACACCCAACTAATAAATACCATCTATTTATTGTTTTTAAAATTGCATAGTGCTTGTGTGTGTGTGTTCATAGATAATGAGTGCCATGACTTTTGAGTGGATTCAGTTCCCTCCTTCCACCGTGTGGGTCCTGAAGATGGAACTCAGGTACTAGATGATCTGTCTTGCCAGCTCCAGCCTTAAATTTTATTTTCCACCTCTAGAAGGAAAATAACACCCATGACTAACTTTTTTAATATTTAAATAGTGAAATCTAGTGAGTTGGTAGATAATTCTTTTTTTTAATTAATGTTTTATATGCATTGATGTTTTTCCTTCATGTATCTCTGTGTGAGTTACAAATAGTTGTAAGCCACCACTGTGGGTGCTAGAAACTGAATGCAGGTCCTTTAGAAGAGCAGTCAGTGCTCTCAACCGCCGAGCCATCTCTCAAGCCCAGATGGTAATTATTAAGTAGCATGAAGTTTCAGAAAATGTGTGTTCACCTTTTTACATAAGAGTATTTGTTGAATTAAAATAATGAAAGGTCATCATGATGTTATACAGAAGAATTCCAACTTTTTATTTATTTTTGAGTCAAGATCTTACTGTAGACCCTCTGCCTCTAGATTGCCCCACCACTTCTGGCTAGTTCAGCCTTTTAAGATTAGGACAGGTTATAGCTAGGCATATAGCATTGCATATATGAACCAGGCACCAAGTCTTGTCCTCTGCATTGAAAAAAGGGATAAAACTCAGAGCTTGAATATTTATTCAAGAGTTTTGTTTGTTTGCTTGTTTGCATTTTTCCTTTTTTAAAAAATTTTGCATTGGTATTTGCCTGCATGTATGTCTGTGTGAGGGTGTCAGATCTTGGAGTTATAGACAGTTGTGAGCTGTCATTGGGTCCTGGGAATTGAACCTGGGTCCTCTGAAAGAGCAGTCAGTGCTCCTAACCACTGAGCCATCTCCCCAGACCCCATGTATGTGTTTCTTAAAACTATCTGGAGAACTTGGGAAGGTAATTGTTTTAGGATACAAAGTAAACTTGGCTCTGCATTGTTTGTGAGATTAATAATGACAGTTACATCCTCCAGGAGAAAAACCAGAGGCGGATAGGAACCCTCCTGTGCTCTACCACAATAGCCGAGCCCGCTCCACCGGAGCCTGCAACTGTGGAAGGAAACAGGCACCTCGAGATGACCCCTTCGATATCAAGGCTGCTAACTATGACTTTTACCAGGTAGACTCTGAAGCTCTGAAGCTCTCTTTGTTACTGAATATTATCCAAGTAAAAATACATATTCAAAGCAGAATACTTAGAAAAGCCAATGCAACTGCAATTGTATAAAAAAAAACAAGGGCAAGTTTGTGACATGCACTTCTTTTTTAAACATACTTTACACATATATATTTAGTGTATAAACTATTAGAATGATAGTCTTTCTTAAAGATTTGTTTATTTGAAAAGAGGCCTTTTAAAAAAAAAAAAAAAGATTTATTTATTATGTATACAACACTCTGCCTCTTGCCTCCATGTATGCTGCAGGCTAGAAGAGGGCACCAGGTCTCATTATAGAGGCTACGGGCCACCATGTGGTTGCTGGAAATTGAACTCAGGTCCTCTGGAAGAGTAGTCAGTGCTGTTAACCTCGAGCCATCTCTCCAGCCCCTGAAAAGAAGCCTCTTTTAAAAAAATTTTTTTTTTTTTTTTTTTTTTTTTTTTTTTTTTTTTTGAGGCAGGGTCTCTATGTAGTCCTGGCTGCCCTGGAGCATTCAGTGTAGACCAGGCTGGCCTCGAACTCACAGAGCTCTGCCTGCCTCTGTCTCATAAGTGTTAGGATTAAAAGCATGAGTCACCCCATCCTTGGCTTGGAAAGAGGCCTTTATTATGTAGCTCAAAAATATCAATTATCAGGCTGGAGAAATGGTTCAGAGGTTGAGAACACAGGCTGCTCTTCCAGAGGACCTGAGTTCAGTTCCCAGCAACTACATGATGGCTCACAACCATCTGTAATAAATTCTGGTGTCCTCTTCTAGCCTGCAGGCATACATGCAGGCAGAACAAAAACAAGAGAAAACCCCATTAACACAATTTTACTTGTTATTCCTTTCACTAAAATAGTTCATTAATAATATTTTTTTAAGTGTATATGTTTGTGAATGTATATTGTGTTACATGCCTATGGAGATCAAAAGAGGGTATTGGACCTATGCCTAATTTGTTTGCCTGCATGCACCTGTGTGCACCACACATGTACATAGCTCCTACTGAAATCAGAAGGAGGCATGGGCAGACAGATCTCTGTGAGTTCAAGGCCAGCATAGTCTACAGAGTGTGTGCCAGAACTGCCAGGGCTGTTACACAAAAACCCTGTCTCAAAAGAAAAAAAAAAAAAAAGAGAATGGATCCTCTGGGACTGGAGTTGTTTGTGATCCACCAAGTGGGTGCCAGAAATCAAAGCTGGACCCCTGCTGGAGCAGCAGGTACTCTTCTTACTCACTGAGCCATCTCTTTGGATCTCCATTGATTGATAGGGTTTGGGTTTTGTATTTTTTGGTTTGTTTTTTTGTTTGTTTGTTTTTTTTTGCTTTTTGAGACAGGGTTTCTCTATATTGCTTTGGAGCCTGTCCTGGACCTAGCTCTGTAGACCAGGCTGGCCTCGGACTCACAAGGATCCACCTGTCTCTGCCTCCCGAGTGCTGAGGTGTGTGTGTGTACCACCATCTCCCAGCCATTTATGTCTAATTATTATTTACTAACGGTTACTGGGACAGAAAATAGATTCCTGCCTTGAATCACTGCCTCAAAGGAATAACTCAAACTATATTCTTTTGGAATATAAAAATAGTTCTTGCTACTTCAGTAGCCAGAAAGTTGGATTCACATTTCCACCATCAAAGGAAAACAAAAACCTGCATGTTCTTCCTTGTTCATACATTGATTGCTAACCTTGCTTGTTAGAATGAAGTATGTATTGTTGTATTTGTTTTGAGACAGACTAACTCAGGATGGTCTGGAACTTACTCTGTGGCCCAAGCTAGCAAACTTTCTGTTCTACTTTACTCAGCCCGCTCTCCCCAATACTGTGTTATAGGCATGCAGTGCCCGCCCTCTGCTCAGTAGTATGTTTGGTGTTCTTTTTACTTATTTAAGTATACAAAGAAGAATATATATTTGAAATAAAAAGTTCCCACTCTTATTTTCACTTTATAGCTTCTGGAAGAAAAGTGTTGTGGAAAATTGGACCATATCAATTTCCCCGTCTTTGAGCCAAGTACTCCAGATCCTGCTCCTGCCAAAAATGAACCGTCTCCTGCCCCACCTGACTCAGATGCCGAGAAACTTAAAGAGAAAGAGCCTCAAACCCAAGGAGAGAGCACAAGCCTGAGTTTAGCTTTGAGCTTGGGCCAGTCAACAGATAGTCTAGGCACCTACCCAGCTGACCCACAAGCAGGAGGAGACAACCCAGAAGTTCATGGTCAAGGAGAAGTAAAATCTGAAAAGAGACCAAACTTGATTGATCGACAGGCATCCACAGTTGAATATCTCCCAGGCATGCTACATTCAAATTGCCCAAAAGGCCTCTTACCCAAATTCTCCAGCTGGTCTTTGGTTAAACTAGGCCCAGCCAAATCTTACAACTTTCATACAGGTTTGGACCAACAGGGCTTCGTCCCAGGAACAAACTATCTTATGCCTTGGGACATTGTCATCAGGACTAGAGCTGAAGATGAAGGAGACTTAGACACAAATTCCTGGCCTGCTCCAAATAAAGCTATTCCTGGAAAGAGAAGTGCAGTTGTCATGGGAAGGGGAAGGCGTCGGGATGACATAGCTAGAGCTTTCGTTGGCTTTGAGTATGAAGACTCTCGAGGTCGGAGATTCATGTGCTCAGGGCCTGACAAAGTCATGAAAGTGATGGGAAGTGGACCAAAGGAATCCGCTTTAAAAGCCCTGAACAGTGATATGCCCCTGTACATTCTGTCCTCATCTCAGGGCAGAGGGCTAAAACCACATTATGCTCAACTTATGAGGCTTTTTGTCGTGGTTCCTGATGCTCCTTTGCAGATAATACTGATGCCACAGGTAAGAAATAAAACCTTTCCTCTAAACAAACAACAATGCTTTTTCTTGGGGGTGCTCTTTACTGGACAAATCACATCGCCCACATTAACTTGGATCTAGATGTGTAGTTTTCAATGACCTTGAACTTCTGTCTCTACCTCCCAGGTGCTGGGATTTTAGGCATGTACCCTCTTCTTTACTAACTGATCCCAAGCCCATGATGCTTACTTTGATTTTGTTTGTTTATTTGAGAGTTTTGTGTGGCCAGCCAGGCCAGAAACTCACTGTACTAGTAGTTAAGGATAACCTTGAACTTATCCTCCTGTCTTTACCTTCTTGGTGCTAGGATGGCAGGGTACACACCCACAACCTAGTTTAGGCAGTACTAGGGATTCAACCAAGGTTTCATCTATGCTGGGCAAGCACTGGACCAACTGAGCTACATCCTCTGACCTTTGTTCTTATAATTTTTATTTATTTAAGAGATAAGCTTTCTCTCTGTAGCCCTAGCTATCCTGGACCCAAAATGTAAACTAGGCTGACCTAGAACTCACAGGATTCTGACACCAGATGTGTTCTATCACTGAATTTCCTCCTAACCATATCTGCTTAAAAATTTTTGTTTACATTTATTTATTATCTGTCTGCTTGTTAATTTGTTGTTTGTGTCCTGAGTTACATTCACAGTACCTAATTTCTTTTAAATCCAAGATCTTTAACTGTGACAACCATTAGTAAAAATTTAATTTGACCCTAGTTTGTTCCAAACACCTGCTGATTTAGAAATGCAGTCCAAAAAAAAAAAAAAAAAGGCTAGGTGAGGTAGGTGACTTAGGTAGGCCTTTAATCCCAGTACTTTGGAGGCAGAGGCTGGTGGAGCTCTGTGTTTGAGGTCAGTCTGGTCTACAGAGTGAGTTCCAGGACAGCCAGGGATACAGAGAGAAAGAGATACCAAAACAAAAAACAAAACCTGGTCCACAAGAAGTGGAAAAGAGCAGAGGGAATAAGATACCAAGGGGACCCAAGAAAGCAGCAGCAGCTTCTGCCGCCTCGTTTGGTGTGGCTGCTTAGTCTTCAGTGTTCTTTGAACCCCTTGTTTGTTTAGACACTTACTTTTCAGGTGTTTCTTACTGAGAAATCTAAAAGTGATTGTGTTACACATGTTTTTCAGGTTCAACCAGGCCCACCACCATGTCCAGTATTTTACCCAGAAAAACAAGAAATCACCCTCCCACCTGATGGCCTTTGGGTTTTGAGATTTCCTTATGCATATGTGACTGAGAGGGGACCTTGTTTTCCTCCTAAGGAGAATGTGCAGCTAATGAGCTACAAGGTGCTTCGGGGAGTTCTGAAAGCAGTGACACAATAAGTTTTCCAGCCGTTCAGTCCTAGACTGGAGCTGTCTGTCTTGTTTTTTTTTTTTTGTCTTATCTTGTTTTTTATATGTGTGAGATTTTGTTTTTAAATGTGTGTTCTGTGTTTCCCTGAAACCAAAATGTGTTTTGGTTAGAAGTATTCAGTATTTGGACAATAATTGTTCTATCATTTCATTATATTGGTATTTATTGTAAAGTTAATAAAAGTTTGTTGTCCTAAAAAAAGGAGTACAAAATGTATAGTTGGTATCTCTGTTTTCTCTTGTTTTGTTTCATTGTAAGGCATATTTTTATATTTCATTGTCAATATAAGACATACTTTTACTGTAATTTAGTGTTTCATCTTTCTGATAAAATGATGTTTCAGTTGGGCTATTCCTTAAGATTATGCTTTTCTCTTTCTCTTTTTTGTTTTGTTTTTCAAGGCAGGGTTTCTCTGTGTATCCTGGCTGTCCTGGAACTCACACAGTAAACCAGGTGGGCCTCAAACTCATAGATCACCTGCTTCTGCCTCCAGAGTTTTGGGATTAAAGGTGTAAACCATTATACCTAGCCCTATTTATTTTTTATACATATGAGTGTTTTGCCTGCATGTATGTATGTATACTATATGCATGCATGGTGCCCACTGAGGTCAAAAGAGGACACTGGATACCTTACACTGGAGTTATAAAGACAGTTATGAACCACCATGTAGGTATCTTGTGTAAGAATGCTCCTAAACCAGGAGGTGGTTGGGCACTTTGATTCCCAGTACTCAGGAGACAGAGGCAGGTGTCTCCATGAGGCTAGCCTGGTCTACAGAGCAAGTTCCAGAACAGCCAGCCAGAGCTGTTACATAGAAAAACCCTGTCTCAAAAAATCAAAAACAAATAAAAGAACAGTGTCCTTGATGGGCAGTGGTGTACACACCTTTTAATCTCAGCACTTGGGAGGCAGAGGCAGGCAGGTCTCCAAATTGGAGACCAGTCAAACAAAAAAAATCAAAAAATCCAAGTGTTCTTAACTGGCTGAGCCATTTCTCTAGCAACCAACTTTGACCTCTCAACACTCCTGCCTTAGCCTGTGTACTAGTGCTGGGACTGAAGGTGTGTGCTAACAAAACCCTTTTCAGTAGTAGGCATTGCACCTTAGGTCTCATACATACCACTGAGTTACACCCAATTTGTTTGTCCTTTATATTTGGAGACAGTATCTAGCTGGGGCTAGCTTTAATTCATTCTATAGCCCAGGCAGGCCTGGAATTTATAGTTCTCCTGCCTTAGCCTCCAAAGTAGTGGGAATTATAGACCTGTACCCTCAGGCCTGGAATAAATGTTCTTGAATTAAATACCTGTCCTACAAAATAATTTGCTAAGTGTTTAAATCTTATCAATCTATAGTTACTTTTCCCAATATGCCACCATATTACCAATTGTGGCTATGCCATGAATTAGATAAATGCAAAATAAATTGAGACCTAAAGGAGTGTAATTGACTATTTTCCCAGATGCATTTTAAATACTGTAGTAACAGAATTAGAGATTTTAAATCTCAATGTATGTGAAAAATAGTGTTTATCACATTTCCAAAAGCTGTTACCTGACCACCCGGCAAGATGGCTTAGGAAAAGGACCTCAGGTCCCATGGTGGAAGGACATATCTGCACCTCATAGGTTTCCTCTGGCCTTTACTTGTGCACCCACGTACACACGAAAATAAGTAAATGCATAAAAAAAAAAAAAATAGACAATGAGAGCAGGTGCAGCAGCCCTTACCTGTAGTTCCAGTTCGTGAGGATGAAGCAAGACGACGACCATGTGGCCCTACTAGTTTGAAGCCAGCCTGAGCTAACATGGTGAGTCAGTTTGTTGTTGCTCATTGTTTTTTAACTGGGAATCAAACCGCTGGCCTTGGTTGGGGGGGGGGTGAGGGTTGTGGGGGGGGGGCGGGTTGTACTTGGAAGGCAGAGGCAGGTGGATCTCCAGCCTGGTCTTCATGGTGAGTGCCAGGTGAGCCCTGGGTACATAGTGAGACCCTGTCTCCAAAAATAAATAAATAATCCCAATACTTGGAAGGCAGAGGCAAGTTGAACCCTGTGAGTCTGAGGCCAGCCAGCATGATCTATACAGTGAAACCCTGTCTCAATAAACAAAACAAACCCGGAGGCCTTGAACATGCTAGGAAAGTGTTTTGCCACTGAGCCACAACTACAGCCTTTGTGGTTAGCTTTTATTTATTTATTTTTTTTTTCCCAAGAAGTATGATCCACAGCACCCTGAAGGCTGAGGTGGGGGAATCGAGAGTTCAAAGCTCTGTCCACTACTACCTAAGGAATTCAAGTCTAGACAGGGCTAAGTAAGACCCTATCTCACAGAAACAACACCCTTAAAACGTGGTTCCTAGTGTTTTCATAATGTGTGAGATGAAAAAGAGAAACGAAAAATTTAGTTGTCCGTCTTTATAGGAAACGATATAGTTGCCAGTTTCCTTATTTATTTTGTGCTGGAACTTGAACCGGTACGCTCTACCAACTACGCCTTCCAGCCCCAAGTTTCTTACACGAACTGTTGAGTCAACTAGTGCCTCGACGAATTCGAGGCACTAGTAACAATTCTTTGCATTTCCTAGAGAAGGGGCTAGGACTTGCCCTGGAATCCTCCTTTGGTGTACATTTCCCAATTACGTCAGATTTTCCTGAAGGCTATCCTGGCTTTTTTTTTTTTTTTTTCTGATTGAGGGGTGCAAAAAAATAAAAAATAAATAAAAGCAAGCACTGGCAAGTTTCCAACCTCTTGCCTCAGGATCTTCTTAGAAGCACTTAGGCGAGGGACCACAAGTGCTGGACGCCGAACGCTCCCGCCGCAGCGCGCCTGCGTATCGGAGCCCCTTTGTTGCTCAGGCGCTGGGGTCGGGCTGCGCCTGCGTGTTGAGCCCGCACGAACAAGTGCGCTGCGCCGAGGGCACCGGCTGGGGGCGAGCAGACCTCGAGCAGCCGCTGGCGCCGCAGCCGTTGCTACCACTGCAGCATAGTGGGGTTCAGAGGCCCAGAAGGTGGTGACCGAGGATGTCGTCCACCGCAGCTTTTTGCCTTCTCTCTACCCTGGGAGGGTATTTGGTCACGTCGTTCTTGTTGCTTAAATACCCAACGTTGTTGCACCAGAAAAAGAAGCAGCGATTCCTCAGTAGGCACATCTCTCACCGCGGAGGTGAGAGGGGTTCCGAACCAGATGGTGGAGATGGGGGTGGCTTCCTTAGCAGAAGGTAGAGAGGGTGGGGATACTGGAGAGGCTGAGGAAGAATGGGCTCCAGTGACTGGAGGGCTTCATCGGATGGGTCGTCTCGAGGGGAGGAAAGGAAAGGGGTCTCGGGTCCCAGTCCTGGTGGGCGTCTTTGGGGAGGGTGGCAGGGCTTCTGTGAGGAGGGGAAGCACAGGATGAGAGCCACAAGTGGGGCGTTTCTCAGCCGATGGAAGGATGATCGGGAGGACCCTTCTTGGGAGCCAGGCACAAAGCCGGTGCAGATCCAGGAGACACCCGCAGGGGGAACCAGAAACAGACTGCTGGGAATGAGCCGGTGGCTGAGTCCGTGGGGAAGAGCTTGGGCACTGGCAGGGCTCTGGATCCGCGAGTCACCTGGAGCGAGCTGAGGAGTCTGCGATGCCTAGTGACCTGGCCCACCCTCCACGCATTTGTAATTAGCTCTGGAGAGAAATGTCCCCAAACCAGAGACGTTTTCCAAGGTCATAGGGTTTGGACTGAAGTGGGACAAGGAATTTGGAGGGTTCTGGTTCCGAGGACTCCAAAGCTAGTATCTGTTTTTTGTTTTGTTTTTTTGTTTTTTTGTTTGTTTTTGTTTTTTCATTTTGAAAAGCACCATTTATCTCAGCCATGGTTCGTGGGTTCCTAAAGACTAAAACATGATTTCATTTTATTAGTTAGTATTATTTTTTTAAAGATGGTAATGTTCCCTTGAAAAAATATATTGCTCTCGGGATCAAGCGGAGTCACTCTAATTTCTTACAACAGGCCACATCTTTGCTTCTTCGTTACTGTTTAATAATGTGACTTCATTACATCTTAATCACCGTGTATAAAATATAAATTGTTTCGGTCACTTTAAATTTTCTTTTGGGGTGAATGTGACACCAGATTTAAGTAGCTTGGAATGGATCTGGTTTTGGTGGCCCGTGCCTTTAATCCCAGCACTCGGGAGGTAGAGGCAGGCAGATCTCTGAGTTCGAGGCCATCTGAAATGAGTTCAGATCAACTGGAGTGAGTTCCTTTGACAGCCAGAGATACACAGAGAAACCCTGACTCAAAAAACAAAACAAAACAAAACAAAAAAAAAAACAAAAAACAAAAAAACAAAACAAAAGTAAAGAAAAAAGAAACCACTTGACATGTAGCATTTAATGGTAAATTCTCTAGGCTAAAATTGATGTGCCATATTTTTTGTTTTTTTAAATTTTTCGAAGTTGGGGTCTTGCTATGGCGTGCTGGCTGGCCTGTAAGTCTTTATGCAGACCAGGCTGGTCTGGCACTCTGCTTCTGCCTTCCCTGTGCTGGCAGTATCAGTGTGCTGGGGCTTCAATGCTGGGACCATGACTTCTAGTAAGACAATAAGTCATAGGAATACATTATCATTCTTTTGTGTAATTTTATCAGTTAATCACAGTTTCCCACTTTTGTTTGCTTGTTTTTCATACAGGGTTTCTCTGTGTAGTCCTGGCTGTCCTGGAACTAGCTCTGTAGACCAGGCTGGCCTGGAACTCAGAGATCTGTCTGCCTCTGCCTCCCAAGTGCTGGTATTAAAGGAATGAGCAGTCATGCCCAGCTGGTGGTGATGGCTGTTTAACATGCCTGTGTATGGGTGTATGGTGTGTTTTCCTGTGAGTGTAGGCATATACATACGAGAGTGCATGTGTAGAGGTCAGAAGACAGTATCAGGTATTAATCCTTGTGTTTACCTTGTTTGAAATGGAGGTTGTTGTTCATGGCTGAACTCACCAGTAAACTTGAATTGGGGGTTGGAGCTTCTCCTGCCTGGGTTCCCATCTACCAGGAAGGGCACTGAGATTACTTATGCATGGTTCTGGCTTATGCATGGGTTCTGGGGGCTTGAAGCAAATGAATTAGCTACTGTGTTATCTATCCAGCCCAGCCTTGTCTTTTTTGTTGTTGCTTTTTAAATAGTCTTACTATGTAGCTCAGGCTGGCTTTGAACAGAATGGCCTTGAATTTGAGATACCCCCACCTC